TATATATATATATAACAATACAACAAAAAAGGAAAAAGAATTGTATATATGATGGATTACATTGATAGATCAAAGGTAACAAGATTACAAGCTTACACATATTTAAATTAATTCAAATTAATTTAAAAAGTTCGAAGAACTTATTTTGGACCATAAAATAGTCCTTTCGGGCTTAGTTAAGTTTTTTTTTTTTGTTTGATGTTATTAGGAATGTATTTGAATTTTGTCTGTTGGTATGTTGTTGGAAGTAAATTAATACGAATGATGATAATTATTTTTGGTAGTTGCTGATGTTGTGTTATTATTGTATTAATGCAATAGTGGAAATTATTGAGATACTTTTAATTTGAATTTTACATCGTTGATCGCTTGTTCATGAGTTTCTTCTGTGAAAAGACTTTCTTTTATTGTACGTCGTTTCCAATTGGTTTCTAATGCTAATGTTTCGGATTCATCAAATTTAAAGGAATGTTTATGATTATATACATGTTTTGCTATGTTCGATTTTTCTGAAAATTTCTTTATATCTTTTTGATGTTCTTTAACTCTAGTTAATTTTTCTCTGTTGGTTTCTCCTATGTAGCATTGTTCACAGTTATTACATTTTATTTTATATACTAGTTTCTTTAGTTTTTTCGACTCATCATGTCCTTTTTGGATAGGAAGAAATATACTTTTTAAGGAGAAAGTTTTACGAAATCCTGTTTGTATATGGCATGTTGAGATAAGGGTGTGTGTGGGTATGGGTGGGTGTGGGGTGTGGGTGTGTGTGGGTGGGTATGGGTGTGTGGGTGTGGGTGCGGGTGGGGGTGCGGGTGGGGGTGGGTGTGGGTGTGGGAGTAGTTTTGAATCTTCTCTTCAACACACCCACACCCACACCCACCCACACCTACACTCACACCCACACCCACACCCACATACCCACACCAACACCCACACCCACACCCACACCCACACCCACACATCCACACCCACCCCACACCCTAAATGGATCGTTTATCTACTAATAACTGATGTTCGAAATTTCTATGATATATAAACTTCAATCATCCTGTTTTTTCTATCATACCTTTTTAATATATTAATAAGTTGATTTATTGTAAAAAAAATATTCTTTTTCAAAAACAAAATTTAATAATAATGTTGTTTTTAATGGAATTTTATCGATTTGTTGTTGATCAATTTGATAAACATACATACGAAATAAATATCTTATTGTTATTATTTTTAAATTTTCAACAAAAAAAAAATGAACCATTATTAAATAGAAATTGTTCATATTGTTCTATTTTATCAACAAATAATTTAAATAAATTCATACATATTGGTTAAATTAAATCAATTAATTAATTTAATTGATATTTTTCAAGTATATCCATTGTTAGGTGTTGAACCAGGTCAAATTTTAACTATAACTAAATATAATAATGATTGTTGGTTATTTTTAATAGTATCACGTTTTTGTTTTTGAATCCAGACAATTTCTCAATACATAATGAAAATGTTAAATAGCTGATTTAGAATTATGTTGGAATAAAATATATTTACTAATAAAATAATGCGATATATAAGGATATTGGATGAAAATCAATGTTATTGTTGAGTATTTTCTTCTTGCATATATTCTTTTAATGGATGATCACCTAGAAAAAACGAAACACAAATCGTTTTATTCTTAAGAAGATTAATAATTAGAAGAAAAAAAAACAAAATGGGAAAATAAACAATTCCAATAAGCCTTATTCTGAATTCGTTTGTTGACCACAAATATAGATAAGAAACATGACTACAGACTAGCTTGTTTGTTACTAAAGTAGTCTCGTTTTCTTTCATATATTATTCTCAATCGTCTTCTAAGCAATACTAACAGGACGATTGAGAAACGGTACATAAAAGAAAACGAGACCGTCCTCTAAAATAAATAAGCTAAATTTCTAGTCATTTTGTTTATAGAGACTTTCATTAGAATTATCAATTAAAATAACGTCATTACGAATCATCTAGAATCGATGAAATAACTTTTTTAATTTGTTTGATTTTTTTAATAACAAACAATTCTCACAAACGAAGGAAAATAAAAATATTCATTAGAGACTCTCTTTACCTCATCCGAACAACACTAAAAAGAACAAATAGATAAGTTAGAAAGTCGATTTTTTTTTCTTTCTTAGCACATATCGTAGGTAGGAACATCATCGAAGGACATTATTTTAGATATAATAGACCGATGAAAAAAAAACAATGACACATAGGAATTTATCATTTCTTGTTTATTTTTCTATGGAATAATTTCGAAATTCTAGCTCTCTTTGTAGTTTCTGTCAATGATTAATAGTTATTTACTATGAAAACTCTTGAATTAGTTCATATTAATTCACGTTTTCTAACTATTAGACATTCTTTATGCATTTTAAGTAGAGTTTATCATAATAAAAAACAATATATATAGAGAATACAATCTAACGAAAGTTTATTATATATATGAGAAATGAATTTCTTTTTCATTGATTTATATATAGATGAATATCTATATCTATATTAACTCTAGTTTAGTTAACAAAAAATATACTTAGACCATATGAAAACTAGTGATAGTATCCTGTTCATCTATACTTGAATAATTCAAAGATGATATTAATGGTTTCGTCAGACTTAAGAAAACGATTGAAGATGAACTAAGATCTAGTTTTGTATCTAATAGAATAACATTTTGATTATGTCAAATGGATCGATTGCCTTATGAATGGTGAACCTTATATATATATAGATAATTGAAAAATTGCAAGTGTATTATGATTTGAGTGATGCAATGTCATCAAACGCATAATCTCCAGTTATCGAAAGGTTACAAAGAAAAATCGCTAATTGTATGTTGTAATAGGTGATTTTAAGGGCAATCATGAATAACTCTCGTTTGAATATATAGTGTAGTATGAACTTTATTTTAGAAGCGAAAATTTTCTTCATTTGTCTAAAAGAGAATTTATCAGATTTGCTTTAAATTCTAGTGTGATCACACCGACTGAAGACTAGTCAAATATAATCGAATCATAGAGAATTGTGTCAACAATTAGGATATTTATAGAGAAAATTTTCTCGATCGTTTCTATCTTGTATAATAGTGCTAGTACCACTATTTTTGGTATGTTCTAACAAGGAAACTATCCGAACTGATATCCGCTATAGTATCTATACTAAGCCCTATAAAGATACCTTAGCAATGCTAGGAAAGATCGAAAAGGGTTCGTTCTCACGATCCTATAGAGCCAGATTATGATCATTTTATTGAGTTTTCCAGTCAGCTTTAGGTATATGCTAGATAATCAATAAGCATAATTTCGCTGTAAAACATTATTTATAGATATGTCTACTAATCTATAGAATATTGTCGAAGATTTGAGTCTAAAAGAATGTTCTCTTGTCAATATATTGAATATTAAAGTAAACTCGATGTTTTCTATCTATACCGTATATCAATCGATTACTTTATAGAAATAAACGATCTCAACAAATCAACATTCTTTTCAGTTGAAACGTTCCACTATTTGGTGTTTTCAGGAACGTTCCTAAAACACGGTTAAAAGTTCAGTAATACGATGATAACTCGGTTTTAAATGATCATACCGACGAACCATTTAAGAGATTTTCTAGTGTTAACCGGGTCAACAGTTGTCGACCCAATATCTATTCAAAGGATGGCTATCAGGTCATGTCATTTCTTCCTAACTATAATCAATTTTTGGTTCATAGACATTTTTAAAATATCTACTACTATTGTTGTCTATCGATATAATATATTCTTCTAATGAAAACTCTAAAAAGATTTCCTTTTGACTAACCTATCGAATCAAGTATGTTTTTTTTTATGAATAAAATTTTAGAAAAAATAATTTACTTTTTGAAACAAAAAATAAGTACATAACAATAAATTAATGTAAAGCATAATAATGTTTTGAAAACTTGATTAACAATAATAATTGACTATAACATGTTTCTATTCTACTAATTCAATTGATATTATCTGATGTTTTTCATAATCATCATTATTCAATTGATCATTTCCAAGTAAAGTAAATAAACGTAATTGATATTGAAGTCGATTAAAAACAGGTTATAACCATGAAGAATTATCATCATTTAATGATGGATTTATTTCATCTATATAATGATCATAATCAACAAATGTAGTAGTAGAAGTCGACATTCTATTCAAATATTCACTAATAATAGACATGAAACAAGAGTTTTTTTTTTTATTGATGACGAAAAGCTCGATCAATATCATTTTATTGTATAATAACGACAAACACTCAAATGATGTTGACTTAATAATTTTCAAATAAAATCCTTATCATTAATTAATTGTTGATCCAAATTTGGTTGAATATAATAACAGTTAAAATCTATATCATCTATTTTATAGATAGATATTATATTAAGTAATTCACTACCTAAATAACCATCACGTTGTTTAACTGTATCAACTATTGAATCAATAAAATCTGATTGTGTACGAGAATAAATAAAATCATTAGTCATAGTTTTTCTTTTGTTTTTTTTTTGTTATTATATCTATAATAATGAAAATTTTATTTTCGTTTTGTTCTCGAATTAGTATATATTGATCTAGTGAATGTCTTAATATATAAGATAAATAATTGAGAACTTCTACCATATTTACCATATATTTCAAGAATATGTTGAAATTGAAAGAAATTTATTGGAGGCCATTTTTCTTCATATTCTCATATTCTAATATTCGTTTATAATTATTTAATGAATAATAAAATTCATGTAACTTATTATTATTTAATTGATAAATTTTATAAATATCTAATATAGCTGATTTATTTAATAAAGATGATTGATAAAGTTCGAAATATTTTGTTAAAAATAGAATTGAATAAAGTGATGTTTGTAATGTTGAACGATATTCTAATTGAAATCGATTTATATAAATAATAAATAGAAGTATTTTTCATCGTAATATATGTTTTAAAAATCTTGAATCAAGTCTCATTGTTTATATGTGATCCTTGAATAAGAGCAGGTAAATCAGCTATAGTAAATGAACGACGATCATCAAATAGAAGAGTGGCTATGTTGAGGATGAAGAATAGGAAATGGTAGAGGTGATATTGCCGGTCGTATACGATAAAGCATTGAAAAAAGAGTTGATTTACTATCATTTGGATACCAACAAATCTAAATTGTTGTTTTTTTTTTTATTATTAAAACATTTAGTGGAATTCCTTTCACAACAATTGACAAGATGTTTTTTTTAAATTATCTTGTTACTATGAATATCATTGAGAATAATTGGAAAAAGAATCTTTAATGCGATCGGAGTGTTAGATGACGTTAGAGTTGAAAAACAACTCATAAAGATTAAAAAAAATGTTGATTATAGCTGATAGTGGTCTTTTATTAGTCATTTGAGAGTCATCCATAAACGGATGTCGACAAAATGAACGTAAAACGGTAATAGACATCTCGACATCTAGTCACAATGCCGGTAAATTTGATCTAGTCCGAGTAGGATCGTTTTCTAGTGGTCTCGATCTAGAGAAAACTATCTGAGAATTTATATGTATCATATCTAAACGAAACTCTTCAATATTAGATAATTGGTTTACAATAAAAGAATATTTAATTAATCTTTAGGTTCGGCTGGTACAAGTTTTTTCCTCATGATATCAGAACTAAAATTGACCTTGCAAAGTTTCAGTTCTAATGTTTATCATGATGCTTTTGCCGTTTTTTTTAAGGATTTTTCGCGAAATTTTCATTTCAAGTTAAATTGATATTGAGCAGCACTTCGAAAGGAAGAGTTTCTCATAACTCTATGAGATAAATTATGTATGTTAGTCGTTTAATATAAAAAATAAAGAGAATATTATAAGAAATGTTATTTTTATCAGAATGTCCTCTATCTATCGTTCCTTACCATATTTATTATATTTGATATATATTCGTTTTTCTCTTTCAATGTCTTGTTTTATTCAATTGTAGAGCACAAGACAAAATAATTGACTAAATTTTGTCTCTGTTTCAATAAATCTATTATATGAACTAGCATAGTGACATTACACAAACGATGATCACGTTATGGAACTGAAAATAAAGACTCATTCTAAGAATAATAAGATGGTGATAAGGTAGAAATTTCTTCATCCGTTTCGTATGGGATAGTGCTTCATATAAACAATATTTACTGTATACTATAAAGATGATTGTTTTTTTTCCCGTAAATTTCATATTTATTTTGCAATTTAAACAAAAACTGACATGATAGGAAATTAAACTGATCTCCAGCAAGTTTTCTAATACGAAAAATTGAAGAATATTTTCATATCGATTTATAAGATTAGATTAAGAATCTCAAAAAAAAAAAGGTAAACTAATAAGTATTTTTGGCGTTCTTGTTTGATTCGATATGTCAATAAAACGACACATGTTTTTCATATCTGATGTTGATTAGTTATTTATTGCTTTTAACGAGGTTATCGAATATAGATTTGATGACTTATGCTTTCTGTAATGTATGAAGAAGTTTCGAAGTATTATTCTGAAATCAGTGAAGTCACATAGTGTATTTATTCTTTATATAAATAAAAGAAAATAGCCTTATAATTGACATTCTATCTTATAGGAAAATAATGACTGTTGATAAATGTCGTTGCAGAAAACTTTCTAAAGAACAATTTGCTATTTTATTATCTATATTAAAAATAAGTTTTGGTTCAAGTTTGATTAAATTTTTTATTCCGCTAAATTTAATTTAAAAACTTACTGAAGATCGACGTAAAATTTCTGTAGGAGTTCTATGAAAAATTTTTGAGTTCATATTCGAAAAGAAAAGAAAATTCTAATTTTAACTCAATGTTTTCAAAAGACGGGGGATTCGGTAACTGTTTACATTGATTCTATTGATAAATGTCTATTTCTTCTATGTTAAACAATCGCATTAAATATTCGACAAGTTTATCAAATGTAGATTGAAGCAGACAGTTTATGATAATCAAGTTTTTCTCTGTGTCGATGTAATTATCGACAATCCTATTTTCATAATGTTTTATTGCCTCGAGAATCGTCTCGTTAGAATTGCTTTAGCTGATCGGTGTGTTTTTTCTCAATGTTTTTATATCGTTTTCAAGCTGTTGAAAACGATACTATAGAACGATATGAAAGTAATCTGCAGAGGTGATGAGATGGTTAAATAGAACGAATTTATTATCATCAACAGTTCAGTTCAATGCATATATTATGGCCATTGATGAATCCTAGCAAAGGTTACCTTTGACAATTTTGTCTGATAGTTTAACATAGAAAAAATTCAATTCTCGAGAGGCCAATTTCCACAGTGATTCACCTCTCCACTTCTTTCTGCAAGCTGAAAAAATTGAACGAAGATTTTTATGAAATTATTTTTCAGCCAACCGTCATTTCCGATGTAAACTCATACGAATGAAACATAATTAAAATATTTTTTTTTCTTTTCTTACTAATCCAACGTCAGCTAATAATTTCAAATGAAAATTAATCATTGTAATTTCACCAGAGGTTGTCCTTGAAAAAATCTTTTATAATAAATATTCTCAATCACGACCATGTGTTACAATACATTGATAATCAATAAAATTTATTTCATCTATTATTAAATCACCATTATCAAGTCAAACTTGAATATCTAATGGAACATGACTAATTTAATTTTCATTTGCTTTTGTATTTAAACATGTGTTCATGACTATGTTCACCATAAGATCTTATATAAAGTTTACCACGTATAAGAACATGGTCATCGTTGTCCTCGAATAGCACCAGATTTTTTTTTAAACGATTTCCACCACGAACATAAACACAAAGTTTATTAATAAATGGTAAATTTAAATGACTAGCAAGATCTGGGTCAGCTATTTTATATAAACAACGACTAAAAAATATTTATATCTAGAATGAAAAAAAACACAATAAAACAATTAGTTTTTTTGTTTAAAACAAATTAGAATTATGTTTTAAGAAAAGAACAATTCTTATTCTATTCAACTATTAAGTATCTATTTATAAGTAAGATATATTTTATATAATACGTCATATGAGTCAAATAGGAAGAATTATATTCATAATTAATTAAAACTAATTATTGTCTATAGCCTAAATTCAACATATTATCGAAATAAATATTAATGTTCGAAATAAAAATTTATCAATAATAATAATAATAATAAAGAGAATAGATTGATTGATTTACATTGATTGCTTCTAGAAAGTAGAAAGAAAACGATAACCAATAAGAAAAGGGTGGGTGTGGGTGTTGGGCATTGGTGTGAGTGTGGATAAAGAATATACCCACACCCACCCACACCCACCCACACCCACCCACACCCACCCACACCCACACCCACACTCACACCCAAATCATTCGCGGGAAACATAATATTCTTTTGTTTTTGTTTTTTATTCGACAAAAAAACCACTGAACATGTTTCTCTGATGACTTTATCCTATTACATTTCCTTTTACTCAAACATTCGATGTGAATGGCGTACAATGCCTACCCTAGTCGACTTTCCCTAATGAAATCCCCAGGGAGTCCCTACCAATTGTGAAATCCCTGAGAAGTCCGTTACGGGACTCCCCTGGGAGTTAATCAAAAACTCAGCAAATCTGCTGGAGGGAGTTTTTTGGGAGTCCTTGAGGAATCCCTAGGGA